TGCAGGGAGTTTGCAGGTTTTTCCTGGGGTTCCTTTCCCCCCATATAAGCAAAATGTTGGAAAATGGGAAAGTGGCTGAAACTAATCAGATTCCGTTCAGCATGAATAAAAGATGCTACGTCCACCAATTGGTCGCCCAAAAAACTTCCTGCGGTAGAACATAAAACATACCATTGTAGGGCTGGAAGGGGCCTTGGAGGTCTTCTAGCCCAACCCCCTGCTCAAGCAGAAGACTCTGCAGCGTTACAGGCAAGAGGCGGCCCAGTCTCTTCTTAGAAACCTCCAGGGATGGAGCACCCACAGCTTTCGGTGCCAAGCCGGTTCCACTGATGAATTGAGCCCCTCTTCTGGGTGACGCCCCTTTAGACAGGCAGCCAACTCAATTGTGGAGAGGAGAGGTTGAGAAACAGAGAGAACCAATTGGAAAGGTTCAGATCCCTGGAGAGGTTGGGAAATGGGCGATGGGTTCAGGGGCACATCAAGCATTGCAAAAGGGATCGTGTCAGGATCACATCAAATGGATCCTGTCAGCTTTGGGAAGCTACCAGGAAAGCTGCCTTTGGCCCAAAGCGCCTCTCGTCTTTTCCTCCCAAACCAGGTGCTAAACCTGGGTTTCTTCCTGTTGGGGTGGCCATCCCGTTGTTCGGCGAGGGCCCCCTTCTCACCGTCTCCCTCCGGCAGATCCCTGATGCCGTTGGGATTCCCATCCACGTCCTGCCTGCCAAATCGGAACTGGATGCCCGCTTTCTCTTTCCCAAAGCTCTGAAGCTCTTTGGCGATGCTGAAAAGGGGCTTCAGATCGATGGGCGAACGCCGCCACTTTGGCCCTCCGTCCTCCTCCTCCCCAACGCCTGGTTCATTTGGGATCACTTGGAATTCCTCTCCAGGGGGTCCCGGGGCTCGGAAGCCATCGGCTGGGAAAGGGGTCCCAAGACTCAGCAGGAGAAGGCAGGAGACATGGCCGGGGAGGCTCATCTGTGGGGAAAGAAACACCGTCAGATCGCTGGTCAGTCCAAATGGCCCGGTCGTCCAGCCGTCAACATCTCACCCCTCTTTGACTCTAGGGCTGGCATGGCCAAGTGCCCAAACCAGAAGGGGCATCCGTGTCCCTGTGCCAGAGCATCGGAGTACCAGAAGCCCAAAGGCCCGTTTTTCAAGCATTTTGGGGGCGTTTTTCAGCCTAAAATGGTCTGAAAAACACCCTTTGGGGGGCATTTTTGGGGCTGATTTGCAAGAAAACCACCAACCTCAGAGTCCATCAAGAATTGTAGTCATGTCAAGGACCTCCCTCCCTTCTAGCACTTGATGTTATTCCCTAGTTGGGTAATGAAAGGTCTTTAAGAAAACCACCAAGCTCAGAAAGAACCAAGGATCCCACAGTCACCCCCTCCTCCTCCTCCTCCATCTCCTCCTCTTTCTCCTTCATCTCCTCCTCCTCCCACACCTCCCTCCCTTCTACAGCTGATGATGTTACCTAGATCTGATCTGATTTGATGCACCTTGGGGGGGGGGTTGACCCCTTTCCCCAAATTCTGCTTCCTTTAAGCTACATTGTCCTGGAAGGATTTTTTTTTTTCAAAGCAGCACTGAAAAACTTTGTTCCCCTGAGTCCCACTGAGGCCATATGTTTTTGCATTGGTTAGGGAAATTAGGCAGGGCATAACGGGCTATTCTACTCCCCCCTCCCATTTTGAAAGATATTTCTTGCTCGTGACGCCGGTTCCCCCTTTGCTTTCCTTCAAGCACATCATGGTAATCAGAGAGAGCCAGAAGCTTAGTTTTTTTTTAAAAAAAAAAACAGGTCTCGGATGAAAAGTGAAGCTTAATGGATTATATGTGCCAATACTCAGATTCTAGAGATGTGGGAAGACAACGGAAGAAAGTTTCCTGTTTTTTTCTGAAGGAAACTTTCTTGGAAAAAAAAAGAGCTAAGAATTAAGTGACAAATGGTGAAAGCAAAGCACAGGAAGTCCTGAACTCACGGCCACAACAGATCTATTGTGGCCCGTGCCAGCAGCTAGTGGAGCTGGCTGCAGAGTCACAGAGTGAGGATGTTGGGGAGGAACCTGGGCCACTCCTGGAATCTGGGGAAGGTTCAGATGAGGGCTTCGTGTCGGAGGCAGAGCGGGGGCCAGGGTCCTATGCCAGTTATCAGCTGCCTTCGGAGTCAGATATCAGTGAGGCAGAGGAACAGCTGGAGCCTGTTCCCAGTGTGCGCATGTGCAGAGTGGCCAGACGAAGGGAAGAGCTAAATATCAGGGGTCGACTTGGGAGGAAGGCCACAGGGGGACGATGAATGGCCCCTCCCAGAGGGAACAAAATAGAGCGAAAGGGGAGTGGAGTTTGCAGGAAACAATTCGTTCATTCAGATTCATTTCAGGAGTGTGAAGATCTGTCCGTGAATCTCAGAGACTCTCTGCCCAGCCTTTCCTTGCATTGCACCTCATTTGGAAAATATTTACAGGCAGCTTTCCAGGATAGATAAGGTCTGTGGTCATAAATATTCCTTTGAAAGGCTGTTTGCCAGGCCTTGGCTGAAGGTGAAGGAGAGGAATCCACAGTCGTTTCATAAAAGGGGTTTCTTCGAGACTAGGACTCTGCTTTGTGCTTTTTGGGGAGTCCTAGGTCAGAACAGCCGGTTGCTAAGCGAGACATATGCTAAGTGAATTTTTGCCCAGTTCTGCTTACACAGCAATCACTTAAGGAACCCAATTCTTTTTTTTTTAAATCCCACCCTTGTTCGTCTTGCTCAAACATCCCCATGGCCGAGGAAAAAAGAGGATTCAACCCATTTGTAAGTCCCCCCTCCCCTTTTCCGATCCCTCCTTCCAAAAGGCTCTCTATCTCACGCCGAGATGAGCCTCAAGCCCCCTCCCCCCAAAAAAAAACCTTGCAAAGGGGATCAAATCTTTCGAGTTCAAAAGAGGAAATTAATTTCACAGCAGGAAGCAAAGAGCTACAGACACAAATATTTCTCCATCTACAATCTTTCCTGGCATGCATTGCGGGACAAGTTCTCCAAAGGGTCTTCTGCCAGTTTTTTGAACCATAAAATAATCTTACTGATGGGAAACTGGAATTCTCTCTCTCTCTCTCTCTCTCTCTCTCTCTCTCTCTCTCTCTCTCTCTCATCTATCTATCTATCTATCTATCTATC